TTTAAGGTCCAGAGAAGGAAATACTTTTTAATGTCATGATCTGGTGAATACATACATGTATGTAAACAAAAGTTTCATGAATGATATGACTTCTTATGTTATGCAGCTTTTCTGTTTTCTATTCTGTTGGTATTAATGCTTATTTCAGTACACAAAATTGACTTCATGACCCTTTTCTTTTCTTTTTTTTTTCTTTTTTTTTTTGTAGCACTGGGGATTGAACCCCAGGGCCTTATTCATGCTAGTCAAGAGCTCTACCACTGAGGTATACCCCCAGCCCTTTTTATTTTGAGACAGTCTCACTAAGGTGCCCACACTGGTCTTGAACTTGTTATCCTCCTCCCTCAATCTCCTGAGTAGTTGGTATTACAGGTGTGTGCCACCATGACTGACTTAATGACACATTAATGGATTAATACCCTTATTCTTGAAAACAGTTTWAAAATACATGTATATAAGCACACATTAAATATTTACAAACTGACTTTCCAACTTCCCTCTTACCAAGCCTCCAGGGTCCTGTCACCATTCTGTCCTTACCCTTGATAAAACAAAGATGACTTTGACTCCTAATTTTACTGAGTCAAGGCCATCTGATATGTTCATCTGCTTCTCTTCTCTATTTCTATATTTAGTCTATCTTCCAGACTTAGGAGAAAAAAAAGAACATCTTTCCTCTATTTCAAGGTTAGATTTTACACCTGTACTTTTATTTTCATCATCTCTGCCTGCTTTCTTTCTTTCTTTTTTTCTTTTTTTTTTTTTTTTGTAGTACCAGGGATTGAACCCAAGGATGCTTAACCACTGAGCAACATCCCCAGAACATTTTTGTTTTGTTTTTTTGAGGCAGGGTCTTGCGAAATTTCCGAGGCTTAAAATTACATTAAGCAGACAATTATAACTCAAGGTAACATAAAAAAAAATTAAAAAAAAAATAAATTGCTGAGGCTGGCTTCCACCACAGCTGGGCCCCCTCAGCGGCTGGCTTACAGGCATGTGCCACCATGCCTCTGCTTTCTTTTCCTCCTTAAGTGTCTCCCCTCATTTTATATCTAGACAGTTTTCCTTGACCATTCCATCATGAACTCAGTCTTAGTGGGTTTTAATGGTTTTTATTCTGGATCTCAGACATCATCAGTGATTTATTTTTAATCATTAGACTACAGCATGGTTGTTTACTTTTTAAAGTTAAAATCTTATGTTTTTGAATGGTTGATGTTTTTACATGGTTCAAAATGCCAAAGATGCAAAAAGGCCATTGTATTAGGAGATTCTCACCTCTATTTTCCTTCAGCTGCTGTAGACCCTGTCCTTTCTGCCCTGCTTCCTCTTGTTCTTCTTGCCTGTGTCTTCACCCACTCAGGAGACAATGCATGTTTCAGAGTCATCTTTAAGATATTTGCTCTCTTCCTGACCTTCCCATAGCTTCCTTTGAGGAGTTTTATGTTAATCTTCTACATTCTTCACCCACTGACAACCCATTTCCCAAACTCATTTTTTGTGACCTTTCATGTCCTTGCAAGCCAAGATTTTGCAATAATAACCCAGCTATTTTTCCCTGCTTCCAGTCTTTACTTCTTTTCAAGCATCATTTCATGAAACTTTGTTTCTGGTACATAGGTATGGATGTGTATGTGTTTACTAGGTCATGATATACAAAGTATTTCCTATGATGGACCTCAAACAGTTGAAAACTCTGACTTTCAGGTGAGGATCATTATGTCATCTGAGATATAATCCCTGGTTGTAATCTTGTTTTATTTATGTCACTATCTGCTTGCCAGAAAGTTCAGATTCATTACCATAATTGGCCTCAGTTTACAGACTTATGAATTCAAGTCTCTACTGTGTCTGCTGGTCTTCTGTTATCTAGATCGTTCATTCCTTTATTTTTCTATCATCTTTGCCTGATACAGTGTTTGGTTCCTGGTAAGTATTTGATATGTGTTCTCCTAATAATGGGACAAATTTCAGAAAAAATCCTATACTTTTCTCTGCATTATTATTCTTGCTGCTTTCCTTATTATGCCTGAAGATCTATTTCTGTGTAACTGTTCCCTACTACTTTGGCTCTAACTTTTTATTCCTCCTTCCTATTCCTAGAGCTCTTATAACTGTTGAAGATCAGAGTGGCACCATTAGGAGATCTTGAGTTCTTTCCTTAGCACGAGTATCTATGTTGACAGACATTGAGACTTGGCCTGTCTGATACAGGGGTTCTGGCTCACTATTGGAGTTAAAGTTAAATATTTAAAAAATAACAGATAAAAGCAGTAAGTGCTGGGATATAGCTCAGTGGTGGAGTGTTGTTCAGCATGTGTGAGGCCCTGAGTTCAATCCCCAGCACTTGCATACACACACTGCCATGCATACACATGAGAAAAATAGATACTTGATATCAATTAACAAATACCTCTTTAAGCCTAAAAATAATGAAAATGGTAGATATTCATAAAAAATTAAAATGGATCATATTTGCAAACATGTCAAGGATTTGAAGTCTTTTTTTCCTTTACATAATTTTATTATCATTTTTATTATCATAATTTTATTACATAGTAAGAAAACCAAACAAGGTGATTTTAGAGTTGCTTTATTCAGAGACTCCATGATATTTTCAAGGGGTTAGATTTGTTTTATTTCTCCCCTCTGACCTCAGCATATTGGCCACGAGATGGTTTTAGTGACTCCATTATTCTCCTTTTCTTTGCCCATCTTACTAATTTTGTCAATTTTTATTAATCTTTTTGGATAAATGTCTTTTTTCATTTATAGCTCTTTGTTTTCCCTTTTAAGCTTAAAGAGACTGCCTACATTCTTTGGTTCATAGTTTCTTCCTCTGTCATTCATATCAGCAGCATATCTTCTTCATATCTTTTTCTGACTCTCATGTTTGCTTCTGGCTTTTTATATCTTTTTCTCCTGAAGTCCTGAATATACAAAGAACTTTTGAGTCAAAAGAAATATAAAGAAAAATTATTAGAAGATATGGACAAGGGAATCATAGTAGAAGAAAAAAACATAAGCAATCTTATAGTTAAATGTTTAATCTTACCAGCAACAGAAAGAAAATGAACATCATTTTAAGTGGTGGATTCCACCAAATTAGCAAAATTTAAAAATTTTGACCAGAGTACTTTAAAACAAGCATTTTTATATGCTTTTTGAAGATACAACTTGGTATAACATTTGTAGAAAGCAATTAGGTAATATTTGAGAACTTTACATTTTTTAAAAATGTTTTGACCTACTAATTTCATTCCTAGTAATCTGTCCTAAAGCTGTTAATTAGGGAGGAAAATAACATATCTGCGTAAAATTAATTATTTAACATAGTGTTTCTGTAACAGGGGTAAAACTTGCAATTACTTAAATGCCCAAGAGTGAGGTAATACTTTCTTAAGAGTAAAGTTATGACACCATGAAATTCCAATTTGAAGACTATTTCAAAGAACTGAGAAAATACTGTATTTGTGAAATAATACTTATAACATTATAATACTGTGTTTATAGTATTGTGGGTTGGCATACAAACCATGTGATCCGAAATATAGCAAAATAAATTTCTCTGAGTGGTGTGGAGAGGAGTGGAATGATAATTTCTGTAATGTTACTTAAAATGTCTTGAAGTTTCTGAGTGTGGCACTGTAGCAGGTTAGTTTGGAATACAGCCCTGACTCAGGAAGACCTTGCTTTTGTAGAGTGCCCCCATCCTTTGTTTGACTTTACCCTGTTAGTTTTGAAAGTATATATTTCCTCATATGTGAAGTGGGACTCCTCATACCTAACTCATAAAGTTTATGGATTTAACATGAAAATATATATGTAACAACTTTAAAAAATCAATTCTTTAACCAAAAAAAAAAACAGTGAAGTTGCGGGGCTGTGGCTGTGGCTCAGTGGTGGTGCACTTCCCTGGCATGTGTGAGGCACTGGGTTTGATTCTCAACACTGCATATAGATAAAAATAGGGGTCTATCAACAACTAAAAAAAAAAAATTAAAAAAACCACTGAAGTCAACTTTTTTGCCTCTCATTGAGTGTAACAATAAAGACATTCAGGATATAGTAGTCAAAGTTCAAACAAATTCGGAGACTAAATTAGCTTTTAAATGTATGATTGTCTTGTGAATTACAGATCAAGTATTAGTTTTGCTAAAATAAAACTAAGATTTATTTGGTAAAATAAATGGTAATAAATGAAGTGCAATTTTAACTTTCTGCAAAGAGAAATGTTGTTTTCTTGCTAATATTTTCCAGCTGTTGAGCTAACTACCACAGATGTAACATTTCTCACCATGTACATAACAGCCTTTTGCAACATGGGTTCCCATCATCCTTAGGCATCCTTTGTGTGTAATGAATTTGCTTCTCTCCTGTGCATGTAGAATGGTACCAGTTACATGATATTGCATTCTCATATGAGAGAAATGAGAACACAGTTACCTAAATCATTGAGATCTGTTTTCTGGTTCAGATGAAGAACCCTGATGGAGATACCCAGCACATGGGAGCACTCAATAAGTGTTTATGCTTTAGAAGTTGTATAAAAGAGCAGTGACTTTCTTTGCTTGGTGTAAGCACCTTTGGAGAAAGTTTTTAGCAGAGTAGAATTCAGTAAGTAGACAGTGCTATGGTGGTTTTCCAGGCCTTATCTTTGGAACTGGGACTGGATCTGTGTTATAGGACTGAGCAGTTCCTTGTGTTTGCCCTCTTGTAGCAGCCTCTTTCCTCCACTGTAGGGCGCCAAGATACTGCATTCCATCTGGGTAGTATTTTTCAAGTCAATTCTCCCCTTGTAACTCTCCTAGTATCAGAAGCCTTATTCAGGCCTCAGATTTAATGCTTTGTACAAATTGCTTTATGATAATGAATTCAGTGCTGGATGTTTATAACTGCTTTTTTGGGAACATTGATCCTTTTTAAATATACTGCTAAATATATTGTTTAAATATTTTTCTGGTGATATGTTCTCATGACTGCTTCTTATTTTATTTTAGCTACTGATCTACTTCTTGCCTGGAATCCCATTTGTTTGGGATTGGTAGAAGGTGTTATTGGGAAAATTCAACTTCATTCAGGTATGTTTCTATAATCTTCTTAAACTTGCAAATTTAATGTGGCATTCTGTGACATTTTCCTTTTTGAGGTTACATGAGTAGATTTTGAGTGTTCAACGTGGGTATTTCTATGTAAGTTTAATGAAATAAAAATAAAGCTTTAAAGAAAAGGAGGTAGAGAAATGGAGGCTTTCATTCTTTTGGTTAAAAAAAAAAAAACTCATAGAATACCTACTAAGTCTCAGGGATTATGGTAGTTGGTGTGACATAATGAACAAACTGACCCTTCACTACCCTCATGGAGCTAAATTTAGGAAAGACATAAATCACTGAAATAAATATATAATAGAGAATTGTAATGGGTTCTGTGCGGGAAAGATGTAGCAAGTACATTGACTTCAAGGGAGAGAATAGTAGGAATAAATCTGGAGCGGTAGGGAGGCAGCAGCCTGTGATTAGCTGCTTTGGGTCAGCTGCCTATTCCTGATACAGTCATCTCTAGCCGGGAGAGAGAATGGGTCTCTCAGTATGCAGTGTGGTCTTTTTAGGGAAACTTTAGGCCATTCACCAGTGCTTCACCTGGAAAGGCAGGAACCTGTTTCTTGGGTTCAGAGGGAATTTTGTTTGTGAGAAAATATAAGTGTTAATAGAGGATAGGAAAGGCAGCAGAATACAACAGACACTAGTATGGCAGTATGTAAAAACGTGGATGTGTAACCGATGTGATTCTGCAATCTGTATACGGGGTAAAAAATGGGAGTTCATAACCTACTTGAATCAAATGTATGAAATATGATATGTCAAGAGCTATGTAATATTTTGAACAACTAATAAAAAAATAAAAAATAAATAAATAAAAGAGAAAATATAAGTGTTATATAGGTGGGTATATAAAAAAGGCTAAATGAAATATTTTAAGCAATATATTTAAATATCTATTTTAACTTTGGTATCAACTTTAATATGTGCTGTGAACTATAGGAGGCTTTGCCATTATTGCTGTGTAACAGAAGTACTACGTATCTCTGTAGCGTACCTTATTTATTTATTTGGGTACCAGAGATTGAACTCGGGGGCATTTAACCATTGAGCCCTATCCCCAGCCCTTTTTTTTTTATATTTTATTTAGAGACACTGAGTTGCTTAGTGCTTTGCTAAGTTGCTGAGGCTGGCTTTGAAATCATGATCCTCCTGCCTCAGCCTCCTTAATAGCTGAGATTATAGGTGTGCAACATTGAACCTGGCTTTTATTCTTTTAAAGTAAAATTATTATGTATTTGGAAGCTAGGTTTATTTTTGTTAATTAGAAAGCACATATTTCCAGGGACAGTCTAATTTTTCTTTGCCAAATTCTTTGATTGTGATTTAAGATTTGGTTTTATTATTAAATATTTTATAAATGCTGTAAAATACTGTTAAAATGGGGCAAAGGTGCTACTTACACAGTCAAGGGGGAGAAATAAAGAATGTCCACGCACTTCTGCCCTTTCAATGATTTATTCACTCAAATCACTCAATACAATAGGTTCTTAATCAAGAAAATGACTATCCTTAATGCTAGGCACTGCAATAGACATAATCAATCCACAGCAAATAATTCTAGATTAATTCTAAACACTGCAAGCACTCTTAATCATGACAGGCTCATGATGGACATTCCCTCTGCATGCTAATCTCAAGTGCCAGATCTAATGTCTCAAGCCTTAGGCTCTAAATCCAGCAGATGCAGACTCACTCAGACCACGGTGATCAGGTAAGGGACCATGGCAGTTTTCTCCTGGGGTAGAGCTGACAGCCGGTTGAAGAGTGGGTGGTAGGGAGAAGTTGCATTTCTCACCAGGGTCAAGATGTGGCTGTAGAGTTTGAGAGCAGTGAGGAAGATGCAGAGGATCAGGCAAACGATGAGAAGAGTTGGGATATCAGTCCAGGTCCTCATCAGGCTCTCCAGCAGGGGGACATCAGTGTTGGCTGACTGAATGTCTCTTCATTTGCTCCATCATTTATACTAAACCACCTTTTCAATCCCTATCAGCTGCCACAGGATTTCTTGGTGAAGTCATTTGCCCTGGGGTTAAGCATCTGGTCTAGGGGTCCCCATCCTGATTTTCTTGCCTTTCCTCCTTATCAGGGCAAGGGCAACATGACAGAGACTTCACTCTGAGCTTGTCAGGGAGGGGAGAAGTGACTTGTTTATGTCAGGGCTATGCCTGATGATCATATTGGAGGGCTCCATAGGCGTGCCTGGTGAGACTGCAGGTTTCAAAGTGGAGTTTTAAAATGGAGTTGCTTAGGCTAAGGCCTAAGGTCATCTTTACAAATACACATGTATATATACCATACAAAGTAAGAAATGAAGCATGACTAGTGTCTTTGGAGCCTTCTCTGTGTCTTTCTTAGGTGTTTTCTTTTCTTGAAGAGAACCTACTATCTTTTGTGTGTGTGTGTGTGTGTGTGTGTGTGTGTGTGTGTGTGTGTGGGTGGTCCTGGGGATTAAACCCAGAAGTGGGGGTTCTATCATTAAGCTACATTCTGAACACCTTTTATTTTTTGTTTTGGGACAAGAGCTCACTAAATTTCTGAGGCTGGTCTCAGACTTGTGATCCTCCTGCTTTAGCCTCCTGAGTAGCTAGAATTATAGGTGTACACTACCATTCTGGCAAGAGCCCACTATCTTGAATTTTGTTCTTATTCCTTTGATTTTCACTATTGCTTTTATTATATGTTAAGTCTTAAAAAAATATGTTGCTGGGGCTGGGGAGTGGCTCAAGCGGTAACGCGCTCGCCTGGCATGCGTGCGGCCCAGGTTCTATCCTCAGCACCACATACCAACAAAGATGTTGTGTCCACTGAGAACTAAAAAATAAATATTAAAAATTCTCTCTCTCTCTCTCTCAAAAAATTTGTTGCTAACTTTTGTATTTTGGAGATTTTATATAAAGAACATTAAGCTATTTATGTTCTTCACCTCTCACCTTACCCCCTGCCATTGTTGTACTGGGGACGTTGTTAGGCAAGTGTTCTACCACTGAGTTACATCTGCATCCCTTTTTTCATTTTGAGTCAGGGTCTCATTAAGTTGCTGAGGCTGGCCTGAATTTGTGGTCCTCTTGCCTCAGCCTGCTGAGTAGCTAGGATTACAGGTATGTGCCATTATGCCTGGCTGTTCTTTTACTTTTATTGTTTATTTTTGAGATTTATTCATGTTCATGTATGAAATTGGAATTCCGTATTTTCCCTATTATATGAAGATATCATGATTTGTCATTTTTCCTGTCATTGGGTAATTAAATTGTTTCTTCTTTTTTCTCCCTCTATTAGAAATAATACTGTTTTGAGCATTGTTGTATATTCTGTCTTTGGTAGGTTAAAAAAAATTCTTTCAACATAGAGGAGAAAAGATTTAGTCATTCTGTAACCAGGCTAAGTATTTTAATAATACTCTCCTACCTGTCCACATTTACATACATATATTTTAATTCATTTACATGCTGACAGGATAATTTCACAGCTGGATGTTCTGAGCTAAAATTCATTTTCTATTATTTAAATGACACGTATGAAACTTCTGAGTTATTTTTCTTTAATTTCAGTCACATCTTGGAGCAGTGAATAAATCACTGCAATCAGTCAGTAGACCAGGATTCAAGCTCCATTTATTAGCTTTGTGATAGAGGGGAACTTACCTGTTTCATTTGTTGTTATATAATAAGCCATCCCAAATCTATGGCTCAAAAAGAACAACAACGTATAATGTCTCATGATTCTGTGGTCTGATTAAGTGACTCTTCTATTCTTCTTTTCTCTTCTGTTGATTGGGGTTCTTCATGCAGCAGCCATGGGTTTGCCCAGATTGCTTTGGTTTGCCTTCATGTGGCCTGTCTATGGGTCTCATCACACAGGGCATCTCACTGGGTCCTTCTCCCTCTTCTAGAGAACCTGGACTTCTTTTCAAAGTTGTGACTGGGTACCAGGAAGACAGACCTCAAAGTGTAAGGGTCTCTACTTCTTAAGCTGTACAAGAGTAAAAGTAACTGTTTTATTTCTGTAGTGTATTGTGTGCCAAATGAGATAGCATACCTGAAGGTTCTTAGTAAATTACATACCACTATTTTATCAAGACTCTCTTTGTGATTCAAACCTATCAGGTTAAGCAAAAACAAATTTTTTTTTATAAGGAATCCAAGGGACCAAAGTTGGAAGTGGATATTGTACAGGATCTGAGATTATTTTCTTGGAGTGGGTCTCTAACTACCACCTCTCCCTATACATCTCCTTCATTCTTTTCTTTTTTTAAAAATATATATTTTTAGTTGTTGACCTTTATTTTATTTATTTTTACTTATGTGTCTGTGGTGTTGAGAATTGAACCCAGTGCCTCACACTGAGCCCCAGCCCCATCGTTCTTTTCTTTTTTGGGCTTTTTCTGTTTTTGTGCATATAGGAAAAAAAAAATCTTTCTTTAATGGAATGGCACCCTTGTGCCTCAAATCAACATCTGTAATCAGTGGAGACTGACCAGCAATCAAAAAGAATTGAATAGTGAGTTTGATTCAGACTCCTGGAAAAGAGATTTATTGGCCTAGCTTTTCCAAAGGCTTTTCCTGGTCACCTCAAGTGCTTCATAGGCCCACCCCCCTGAGGTGGGAGTAGCAGTCAGAGCAGGAGGGTTTGGACTTGACAGACAACCCCAAAGAAGTCTCCTATTAGCAGAGTACAAATATAAATTAATGACTTCCAAATTTATGATGCAGTGAATGTCCCGGCATCTGTGGTCAACCTGTTTATATGTCCTTTTCCTCCTTGTTTCCTTGCTTTTCTTTTGTCCTAGAATAGGAGGTTGACAAGCAGTGAAAGTACCYGTGGGGGATGTTTTGGAAGAGGGAGGGGAGGGGAGTAGAGCGAACTATAGAAAGAAAATATAGAAAAGGAAAGAAAGGCATGGAAAATCTTTAAATTTCTAACCCAATCCTCAGATCTCACCCTTGCCCCCAACCTTGTCACATCACTTAACAGGTTTGTTT